AAGGAGAGCTATATGGCTTTTGTAGACAGCCAGGAAAACTGTGCTAAATGTTAAAGAGCGAGAGAACGTAGAATGCCTGACATGAGCACTGCGTGACCTCAGCTGCTTGCCGGCTTCTGGGGAACGCAGCTTTCCCAGGTGTGGGGTTGGGACGACTGAGCCTGCTCCTGCGATGGCCGTGTCGTCCTGGATTGGTTGACTGGAGCCCTCCAGGCCTGGCGACACTAAGGCGTCAAGGCCTGCCAGAGGGACATCCCAGCTTTGCTATAGCTGGGAGGAAGTGAACGTTCTCGCTGTGCTGTCATTAGTAACTCTAAGGCCAGTAAGATCTTAGCGACACTGAAGATCATTTGCAAACACGGAGCCAACCCAAAAGACAGCAAAGCGAAGAAGAGACCAGACGATAGTGCTGAACTCCTGGATCTACCTGTTTCGAGTTATAGTCCTTCACTTTCAGCCAAAATGGTTCAGTCCACTGCAATTGCATCATCACCAACTAGAATTTGCATTTTAAAAACGCAGTGTGTGTGACATTACAGGTGCTTTCCCTCTAGTACTAATCAGGAACAGATTTCATGTGATTCATTAAGGAATTTTAAAAATGGTAATGAGATATTTTTCTCTCTGTTGTGCTAATCATGGGCTGAAGGTAAGAAAAAGGAGTTTGAAGCGCATGGAGCTTTCTGCTTAGGCTTTAGGCCAAAATGGAACGCTTTCTGATAATCGTTTTATTCCTGTGAGAAATCAATACGATGAAAGTACTTACTCTATAATTTTGTGTTTGGACTGCACAGAGAAATCGCAGTAATCCTCGCCAATGTCCGTGAAGTCCACAAAGGTGGATGACAAAATCTGGAAAGCCCGGGGATTTTTTTCCTTGAGCTTCTGGCACACGTTAAACCCGTCTACGATCTCCGACTCACCCCCAGTGACCGTTTGCTTAATGCAGTGCAGAAGCTGAACCTAGGAGAAGGATGGAGAGAAGGGTGGACAACAGTGGCACCTCCTCTCTTGACACCACATTCAGGATTCACAAAAGTCTGAATGGCCCAAAATAAATCCATCTTTTTAAAAAGTTTTAGATTTTTTAAATTTATTTTTTCCTTGAATTTTTTTATTGGTACATTTTATTTTAACGTATTTTTTTGGGGGGGGGGTATCAGGGATCAAACTCAGGACCTTGCGCTTGCCAGGCAAGCACTTATTCCACTGAGCTATCTCCCCAGTCCTTATTGGTACATTTTATATATACATAGTGATAGCATTCATCATAGGGGAATTGTATC